TAATTTTTCCCCCCTCCGTGGGGGCGCCCGCCTTTTGGGGGTTAATTGGGGCTCTCGCGGGCCCCCCCCCTCCCCCCCCCCCCATCTCCCCCCCCCCCCCCACGTAGATCGTTCATCCCCTTCCCTTCCAATGTTTCTCCTTCACTCACACACCAACACCTCTTGGTGAGGGGGCGTTTTTAATCTCGGAGATGGAACCCCTCCTCGAGTCGGATGGGTCAAGCCGGATATCGATTTCAAGTCGCATCGTGAACCCGATGGACAATTAATAATCATCGCTCGCACCGGGAGGGCGCCTACGCGCGTCACTCACTCACCCCACCCCTTTTCTAAGCGACTCCCCGCTTTGGATCCCGCCGGGCCAAAGAGAGTAGCTCCTTACGGTTACAGCCACAAGAACGCCAGTCGAGACTCCCTCTTTCGAACCACGAAATGCCCGTCATCTCAACTGAAGCTCGTTCAATTAGAGTAACACCCTTACTTGAACCTTCCTTTCCTTTGACGTTTTACGCAGTTGAGATGGACCGCAGGAACATTCAAAAGGTCCGGACCCACCTCGTCATTGGCTCCCCCCTTCTCATCCCCTCCCCTTAGTACATAGCCACAAACCCGACTCTAAGCTTAGCCACTACCTCTCCCCTTGACTCGATTTCTCGAGAGCGCGTTCTGGGTCCTCTCGAAGCATATTGCGCGAATCAATTGCGCCTCGCAACTGAGCCCGGCTTTTCAGTTTGAATGTCTTCCTTTCGAAAGCGGGAAAAAGGACCTGCGCGCTAATATTATGAGGGACAACCATAGGGGATTGAGTGCCCGGAGGTTGGTGCCCGTCTTTCCAGTTTAAGGTTGAAGAGCACCATTATCGCTATGTTGTTCTTCTTCGAAAAAGCCTTGCTTTGAGATCGAGGGTTGCAACCGTATCGGCGGATGGAAAGCTCGTTGCAAGGTTAATGCCGAGGACTCGGAACTGACCGAGGACCGCATAGGAGGTTAATTTTGTCAAGCCTCGTTCATAATTTCAGGTGTTGTCCAGCTTCACGTAAAGGTGTCCAATGCTAGTTGAGATGTATTGGAATGCGTAGATGGGAAGCGTTGGTCCATGTAGAAACCTAAATCGAGGCATTTTCCGTAGTGGCCTAGTGATGTAGTGGCTAGCATGTTGGTCTTCGATCCTTCGGGTGATCTGATAACCAAATGTCGCAGGTTCGATCCCTGCCTGGGTCGCTTACTTTTGCTGTTTCAGCCTAAGTACCCTTTCTTGTTGTCTCGCTTTCATTTTATATGAGATCTATGAGCGCCAGGCACTCGTCCACGCGGGGGCCATTGGTGTTCATCGCTTGTTAGTCTGAGCTCTCCCTCTCAGTTCCATGGCTCAACTCGTACGATTTCTCCCCATCTCCAGAAGGATTTACAAAAGCATTAAAATTAACTTCATCTTCATATTACTATCACTTGTTGTTCTATCGCCTTTACAAGTACAACTCCCCTCTCATCGTGACGACCGCGCTTCCTTGCATCCTAACTCTCCCGCTCTCCTTGTCCCAAATCAAGTCCAAGTCTCCTCCGCGTTTGCTGGCTTGTCGAGCTTCAATTACATCACCCGGTGGGATATTCAGAGCTTGACTCCAGTACGGCGTGAGCACGCAGTGAGCGGACCCCGTTACCGGATCCTCCGCAACGCCAGATCGAGGGGCGAAAACTCGGGAGATGAACCGGGCCCCAGGACGGAATGAGGTCGGTCTCGAAGAGGTCACGATTATGGCGTCGAATGGGAGCTTACTCTATATGAAAGAAGAGGTCAGACGGGGTTGGAAAGGTTGTCGGTAGACGTCAGCCTTACGAATGAGGTAGCATCCATCACCGCGCCTTCCAAATCAAAGCTTGGATCGACTTCAACCAGCATGAAAAACCCAGCCTTTCTGACACCTCGAACACTGACACCTCCTCCTGCTGCTGCGCTGACCACCTCCGACACCTGAGCCAATTCGTCAGCGCTGGCGAGCTCCTCCAGGGTCGACGCGGGGAAGTCCAGCTCGATCTTTCCCGAGCCACCGGGTACCTTCTTCGCCACCAGGGTTCCGCTTAGCGTCTCGAACTCGAGCATATCTACTTGTTGACCTTCGGGCGTGGAGAAAATCACTCGGGCGGACGCGAGGGTCGCGTGTCCGCAGAGGGGTACCTCGACCGCTGGCGTGAACCATCTCAAGCCGTAGCGAAGCGTTCCCGGCGAAGTGGAAGGCTCTGGGATCAGGAACGCGGTTTCGCTGAGGTTGAACTCGGCGGCGATTTGGAGCAAAGCTTCGGATGAGAGCGAGTGGCGAGCGGGAGGGAGGATGATCACGCAGGCGGGGTTGCCCGAGAATGGCGTTGACGCGAAGGCGTCGACTATGGTGTACAAGAGAGTTGGGTTGGACATTGGGCGAGGCGTTTAGCAGTCGGGGCGGGAGGTATGACGTCTTGAACCGTCAAGTCTAGAAGGCTGCTTTTATAGCCGGTTGAAGTAGATAGATAACGTTAACACAAGGTGGTTGAAAGGTCAGAATAACACTGTGACTCTTGAGCAATGCCGTTAACCAGCTTCTGACGACCATGCGGGTCGGGTGGAGTTCTGAAAGAGTCAAGGAAAGGACAGGCACACCGAGCCCCGTGATAATAACGAAGGGGGTTGCTCGGAAAAGTCGATACCTGTCAAGTCTCGTTCAGCTTGCATTCCACCTCCGAAATGGATCGCAATAGTCTTCCAATTTGTAAAGCATTTACATAAACCTTGATATGAACTTCATCCTCACTAACTACCACGCGTTGCTCTATCTCTACAAGTACAACTCGCCCCTCATGGTCACTACCGCGCTCCCTTGAATCCTGACCCTCCCACTTTCCTTCTCCCAAATCAAATCCAAGTCACCACCGCGTTTGCTAACTTGTCGAGCTTCGATAACCACGCCTGGTGGGATGTCGAGCACTTGACTCCAATACGGCGCAAGCACGCAGTGAGCGGACCCCGTGACTGGATCCTCCCCAACTCCAATTCCGGCGCCGAAAACTCGGGAGATGAACCGGGCCCCAGGACGAAACAAGGTCGGTCGAGAAGAGGTGACGATGGCACCGTCGAATGGGAGCTTAGCCTGCAGGGGAGGGGGAATAGTTAGATGGGGGAGGGTTTCTTGTTGGGAGAAGTCAGGCTCACGAATGCGTTAATATCCATCACCGCGCCTTCCAAATCAAAGTCCGGATCGACTTCAACAAGCAAGTAGCGTCCAGCCTTCCTAACTACCCTGACACTGACGCCTCCTCCAGCGGCAGCACTAACCACCTCCGACGCTTGTGCCAGTTCATCCGGGCTGGTCAGCTCTTCCAACACGGACGCAGGGAAGTCCAACTCGATTTTACCCGAGCCACCAGGGACTTTCTTCGCCACCAGCGTTCCGCTTAGCGTCTCGAATTCAAGTCTATCCACTTGTTGACCCTCGGGAGTAGAGAAAATCACTCGGGCGGAGGCGAGCGTCCCATGGCCGCAGAGGGGTACCTCGACCGTTGGCGTGAACCATCGTAAGCTATAGCGAAGTGTTCCCGTCGAAGTGGAAGGCTGTGGGACTAGGAACGCGGTTTCGCTGAGGTTGAACTCGGCGGCGATTTGGAATAAGGACTCGGTTGGGAGGGAGTGGTGAGCAGGAGGGAGGACGATCACGGAGGCGGGGTTGCCCGAGAATGGCTTCGACGTGAAGGCGTCGACTACGGTGTACAAGAGAGTTGGGTTGGACATCGGGCGAGACGTTTAGCAGTCGGGCCGGAGGTATGACGTCTTTGAACCGTCAAGTCTAGAAGGCTGTAGCTTTTATAGCCTTGTCAAAGCAGATAACGTTAAATCAAGACAGGGGTTGAAAAGTCGGAATAACCCTGTGACTCTTGAGGAATCCTACCCAGGTTAGTCAGCTTCTGACGACCATGCGGGTCGGGTGGAGGTCTGAAAGAAGGAAAGGAGAGGCACGCCGAGCCTCGTGATAATAACGAAGGGGGTGCTCGACAAGCCAATACCTGTCGGCACTTAGGTCTCCATTCAGCTTGCATTCCACCTTCGCCATAAATCCCGATAGTCTCCCAATTCACAGAGCATTTACAAAAACCTTGATATCAACTTCATCCTCCTAACCTCTATGTACATTTGACACCGACCCGCCCATCCACCACACCCACATAACGACGCCTTCGCTGACTTCAATGAAACCCCAGACTGACTGCCCAGACCGCTAACTTCGACCACGCAAATCGCCGTCACTGCCTAGGCACCTACTTGAGCCCAAAGTTTCAAAGTGACTGCCTCAAGATAGCGCAAGCCGTCGTGTCCCTCACTGGCGGGAACCTTGGTCTCGTCGTCGATCCACCTGAAACCGTTGGCCAAGAACAGGCCTACCAGCCTCGCCACTTCAATGAACTCCTTCTGCTCCTCCGAGACGTTCCCCATAGCCTTGTAAAACGCGTCCCAGAACAGGTCCCGGAGCTCCTGCTGGTTGGCGTGGTAGATCCAGCTCTCCTTCCAGCTCGGAAATCCGAGCATGGTCTCGAGACCCCCGAGAGACACGCCGAAAGGACCGACGGTAGCGTCCTTCCAGTCGCAAATGCCCGCGAGGTGGCCCGTCTCCGTGCTCACGTGGATGTTGTTCTCGAGGAGGTCGGTGTGGTTGGGCACCAACGGCCAATCGCTGGTAAAGAGGCCCGTGAGCTTCAAGATGAGATGGTCCAGCGTGTTGCGAAAGCGTAGAGGCAGCCCTTGCTGGAGCTTCTTGAGGTCCGACGCGTACTCCTCATACAACGTGGCGCGGCTGGGACACTGCATCGAGCTGGGCGTCTTGTGCCATGCCGAGGCGAAAAACCTGTGAGGGGCAATGTCAGCTATGCGGTGTCCTTGACGTGGGAGAAGGAGAGAACGTGAGGGACGTTGGTGGCGACGACATACCTGGCATAGTCTAGAAGCGTTCGCCGAAGAAGTTGGAAGTTGTTCTTATGCAGCTCGCCGCGGGCAAGATACATCGAGATGCCGCCCACATTGCCCATCGTGTAGACGTGGAGCCTGCCCACGTTGGCGACGTGCTGGTGGCGTGGCACGAATCCGTCGTAGACTTGCTCAACGCATTCGAGGAAACCCATGTCGAGAGCAGCGCTGCTGGAATGGAACTGGACAACACAACTCTCGTCGTCGGACACGACGGTGTAACTGGACCCGCCTTGTACAGGTGCTGGGTGGACGGGCATGCGTATAAGTCGTTCAGCCTCTTCGTCGCATAGTTTCTGCGTCACGGGGGCGTTGATCGAAAAGAAGGTCGCAATCTGCGCCTTAGATAGTTTCGCAATCGAAGCCGCAATAGCATCCCCCATTGTGTCTCAATGGATCGTAATAGGTGCAGGGGAGCAGTGGCCTCAAGCGGGGATACGCAGGGGGGCGAATACCTTGCTCGAACTGGTTAGGGAAATTGGGCCAGGCTAGCGGGTGCTTTCCTTCATGACCAACGGACAAACACGGATCGAACAACGGGGGTGTTCAGAGTCTCTGCCACCATCAAGTTCTGCGACGGGCCCCCGGTCATCGATGCCATCCCAAGTCCAACGCAGGCCCAATACCAACGACCTACATCCGCCCATCCACCAGCATCACGTCCCTCCGCACCAACAACACCAACCACCAGCACCTCCTCTCCAACAACCCTACTACCACCACCTCCCGATCCATATCCCACCAACATCCAGTCCAGAATGCCACGACCCAGAGCGACTCCAGCGAAGGAAGCGAAATCTTTGTCGACCCAGCAATGGGGACACAGCTGGGGTCCACGTCGAGAAGAACGCCCCGAAGCACGAGCTCATCGTGTCACTAGTCAAAGTGAGCGGATTGGACCGGTTCGGCCGGCGACTTGACTGGAATTTTCTTTCGCCCACACAGAAACATGGCGGCAATCTTAGCTCCAACTACAGCAGCGTTCCATAAGTGCTGGTAGATAGGACCAAACAGTCCGGCCAGGGCCTTTACAGGCAATATCACAACAAAAAGGTCAAAGTTGTTCTCGACGCGCAATGGATCATTGCCTGTGTCCAGGCGGGCGAACTCTTGACCTTCAAACGTAACTGGGACGGAATGAAAGTTACCGGTAACGAAGTGTTCCCTATCAATGAGTACTGCTCTTGAATCTCTACAAGTATAACTCCCCTCTCATCGTCGCAACCGCACTCCC